CATCAGGTCTCAGTAACCCATTACTACAAAGTCAGAAAAGGTAAGATGATCTAAAGTCCTAGGTTCAGGAGGCCACTGCTTGATCAAGAGGTGGACTTTTATTGGAAAAGTTAGAACAGTCCAATATTTCTTTAACAGCTGCAGATGGACTGTGGTGGAAGGGGTACAGAAATGCAAAATTTACAGTGAAATCTTTCTACATGGCTCTCATCAAGGATGAGACATCTTCATATCAGCTTGGGGGGATCTGGGGAAACCTAGTTCCTCCAAGAGTAGAAGCTTTTGCTTGGCTGGCTGCAATGGATAGTGTTCTTACTACGGATCACCTGAAGAGCAGAGGCTTTAATATGGCCAGCTACTATTATCTTTGCACATCTGAAGAAGAAACTATTTTCCACATATTTGTCTCTTGTCAACTAGAAAACTTCATCTGGAAACTGTATTTCTTCCTATTTGGGGCTTCCATTTTCCAACCATCTTCAGTAGCTGGACTCTTCTCAAGCTGGCCAAAGTTCAGAGGAGGAAAGAGACCAAAAATAATTTGGAGCTGTATCCCCTTTGCAGTGTGTCAACTTGAAGGAAAGGAAAGAAATACTGAAAAGCTCGTGGAATCGGCAAACTTGTCAAAGATTGGGTTCTCTCCCTTGAAGAGTTCGAGCACTTCAGTTTTTCAGATTTTACAGAGAATTTCTGGGATGCTCTTGAGATTCAACCCTGCAATATGCATCAGTTTAGTCTTGTATGAAGTGTTTCTGTTTGTTTGATTGTAGATGGGTACTATGGAAGTCTGATTGTAATGGGGTGTCATCTTGACAACCAGCAATCTGTATCTGTTTTATTTCATTTTAATAAAATTTTCCATCTTACCTTTCAAAAAGAAAAAAAAAAATAGTCCCCTTCCCCCCACAAAGACCTCATCACTTCATTGAACATAATCTTCATCTTTGTTTCCTGAATGCACAGAATTGAAGGCTTCCACCTCTTCAAAAAACCCCCAGCAACCACTCTTCAACGCCCCAAATTTAAACCCTAATATTCCAAGAAACAATTTTTAAATTGTCCATTCGCTTTGTTTTTCTTCTCTTTTTTCTTTTTTCTTCCTTATTTCCTTTTCCTTTTCTATTTCTTCTTTTTTCCCTTTTTTTCTCTAAATATTTTTCTCTCTTTTCTTTCTTTGCCCTTTGCACTCCTTCCATTAAAGCCATTGAGCCCTTTAAGAATCCCCTACTCCAACCAGCCCTGAGAAGTTACTTGCACCAAGTGGCTTCTCACTGGTGCAGTCATTGCTCATCTATGCGCATGACCAAACTATCTCAGTTGACACACATTTCATCACTAATAGGAGCTACTTCTAAGTACTCTTTAATGCACTTCTGATACTCCAATTCTAATCTTGCCACTTATCCATCACAACATCTTTGTCTCAACTATATTAATTTTTGTAAAGTACCAACTGCATTAATTTTCTGAACATGTTGTTTCTTACTGCCTAGCATTATGTCCCATATAGCAATGCTGGTCTTGTAAAGTTCTATTTTCAGTCTCATTGGTATATGTCAGTCATATAGTACTCCAACCAAGGTTCAAAGTATCGAGATATGTGTGTCGGGTGTTTCGATACTATACACACCTTTTTTTTACTTTTTTACTCTGATATTAAGTATCGAGATATGTGTGTCGGGTGTTTCGATACTATAAACACCTTCTTTTTACTTTTTTACTCTGATATTTTCACAGGGGGGTGGTTTTGGGGTATTTAACACTTGAAAAACTAAGTTTCTAGAAAAGCCTTTAAAAAAGGTGTTTTGGTAAGCCAAAGATACGATATGATACACCCAATGCAAGGCAATATTGTATCAATACTTTAAACCTTGACTCCAACTATTTTGGTCATCCCCTTTATGCATCATGCACAAAATCTATGAACAAACAAATAATGCTAGGCTATCAGAGGGGAAAGAGAACATATAAAAAAATCAATGAACAAACAAAGTATTAAGTCAGTATTTTTCACTAGATTGATCAAATCAACTTGACATGTAAGATCCCCAACACGAATCATCTCTTGTCATTACGTAGTCGCATTCAGAACCCATCTGAATGAAGAATAATGTCTGGTGTTCGAATACCATGCCAGCATGCCTCTCTAATATGCAGATAGGATTAGATGGGGTTGGGAATTTGTTAAACTTCAAATGGGCCCAATCAGGAGCCTGATATAGTCCCAAATTTTTAAATCGGGCAACTCAACTTACACCCCTACTCTCTAATATTATACTTAAGTGGCTAAGCCTTGAAGTACCCTCCAGACAGAAATTGATCCTCTATTGGTACCTTCAAGAAGCGATAGCAGCTCCATACTCAGTGAGTCCCTTCCAATCCAATGTGTCCAAAGATAAATGAGGATGATCACTCTATTGGGCTTTCCAAGTGGTGTTCCATGTTCAATTATCAATTCTTACCACCCAAAACAATGCATGACTCTGTTCAATATGTAACCAACAATTGGAGCATTTCAGTGTATATCAAATTTTCTAACAAAGATAAAAAGTCTCCTATAATCTAATGTTAGACAGTGTATGCCCTTAGCTCCAATCAGATTGATGTACTTATTGTCATTTATTGTAAATGAATAAAGTGCATAATTGATTAATGTTATTATGGTGTGTTTCTGTGTAATACCCTTAAACTGGACACTTATGAGGCTCGTGTTAGTTTAGAATCTTCATAGCCGCTGGATAGATCTAGGGAGATGCATCCTGCCAAGGCTGACACTGATGTGCCGCCAAGTTGGTTGGGGTGACTTGTCTCAGCTGCCAGGGTGAGACCTAAGGTACATGCAGTGTGGGTTTTCTTGAAACCCTGAACCGGACCAAATTCCAGTATTGCCCTGGACCTTGGAGATAGATGGGCAAAACTGGAATGTTACACCTGACCCCTAGACTCGATTATGGTACTGCACTAGGTGACGGATTGGGTTGTCTTTGATATGCCAAATAGTGAGATCCTTTACCGGGTCAAAACCTGGGTATGTTGGGACAGTCCAAGAATTCACCTGAGTGAGTAATCATAGTGACAGGATCAACCCCTTTGTCGGACAAAGTGAATGATCGGGGAGTGCACTCTCTCTGATGGAAACCTAAACTGCCGGCAGTGGATTTCAAATGTGCTTGAAATTTGTTTTTGCAAAATATGTTTATATAGATATATACTTATATGTTATGGTTTCAAATTGTTTGCAAAAGGTTTTAATTCCCGGGATCCATGTGAGTAGAGAGTGCAACACTATACCTTAAAACCAAGGGAGAAGTCCTCTCTTGTCGGGCAGTGTTTGATCATTATGGGCTGAGAGGTTAAGACCATTGAGGGGTAATATCTGATCGGCTAATCTTGCATCTGGCCACATTTCTTGGGTTTTCATAAGGTGGCTGGATCCGAGAACCATCTAGTGTAAATGTTGGGCCCATTAAGAGCCCATGTTGATGGACTCGGGGGTTCACTGTTTAATGCGGTGAATTCGGCCAGGCCTTGTAACAGAGGCTAGGCTGAACCCATGTGGCTGATGTGTAGATCAATGTTAGGGTCCCACACCATACAAAGAGAGCCGAGTTGGCAGCAGATTAAAGAGTAAATGAGCACATAAGCTTAATGGGCCTAAGGCCCAATTCGAACTGGGCTTAAGTTAGTTAATTAAAAGGGGGCAAATTCAGTTTTAAACTGATTAGGATTAGCTGAAGGATAAGATAAGTCTTATCCATTTAAGAGTCCAGATCCAAATATAAGATTTGGATTAGGAAACTCTCTCCTAATTAGATTAGGAGGCTGATCCAAGAAGGCTATAAATAGGGGGAGAATTCCTCAGATTTTCAACACAACAAATTGCACAATTCTTCCCCAGTTCTTGCTGCCCCTACCCAGTTCGATCTCCACTTGTGGATCTGATCAAGAAAGGTTCTTGATATTGTTTCTTGGTAGAAGAAACAATTTGAAGTCGTGCTCACCAACCCTTGCTCGAATCTTGCTGAAGAATTCAGGTTCTTGCTGAAGAACCATCCTGCTGATCCTGCTTCACTACACACCGTGTCATCTTCAGTGGAAGCGGGTTGTGGTCTTCTCTTTGGGTGTGAACACTTGTGTTGGGAGTTACTGTTACTTCGTATCAGGTATATCCCTCACTTCCCTTTGGTTTCAGATCTTGTCTGGTTTTGGATTCAAGAATGAACCTTGAAAATGCAGTTTTCTAAATTAAGGAATACGATTCCCGGATGGGAGAGAAAGAAATTTTTGAAATTTCGCCCAACCTTCCTGCAGGGTTCGGCCATCCATATGATGGATTTCCCATCCCTTCATCTAAATGGTCCCACATACCCTGCCCCTACGATGAACCTATAATTCATTTAATTTTGCTTCCATCACATCATTAATGAGTTTAATTCCTTGGTAATTATTACAACTTTGTGTATCACCCATAGTTTTTAAATATAGGCACCATAGTGCTCTTTCTCCATTCATGTAGCAATTACTTTGTTTTCATCATCTTATTAAATAGTTTAGTTAGACATAATAAGCCTAACTCTCCCATATCTTTCCACACTTCTATTGGGATACCACATCTTTCCACCCTTCATCTTGTTTAGTTCCTCCACTTCAGTAATGCGATCAGATGGAGTTCCTTCTTCAAAAGGGATCTTTTTTGCATTATCTTCAATAGTATAGTATCTACAAGAGAGCTAAATATGGAATCGGAAAGGTTGCTTTTTATGATGAAACATTGATGCAACTATACATTTTGTTGTTTGATATTGAACTGTAACCTTTTACCTGTAATTCTATGCCATATTACATTTTGTGACCAACATATCAATATCATTGTAACTTAGATGGAGAAGCACAAGAGACCATATTTGGACCATAAAAATAACAAAAATAAATAGAGGATATATACAGAAAAGAAGAGAACATAAAAAAGGGAATTAAGGTTTCAGAAAAGATCTACGTACAATATTTAGGCTGACAACATATAGGGGAGCATCAAAAAATGCAACACCATTCAACTCAGTACCAGTCCACTTGTGTAAGATGATTTTAGGGCCAGAAGCTATCAGCAAGTGTCCTTGAAGTGAGGCTAAGGCAGAGATAGCCCCTTTCAATTCCTTTGAATACACCTCTGAAACCTGAAAGAGAAAAAGCGAATAATAAAAAATATAACCAAAAAGCAATCATGAGTTCCATAGGAATACAAGGAAAAAGGATATTTCTTTGGGGTATAAGGTGAAATTCCTGTAGAAAATAAAAATGGATCAAGGGAATAGAAGTAAAGGTCATCTAAACTAATACCAAATTTTGAGGATTATCCGTATTTCTTCCAATAGAAAACAGAAGGACACGTCCTCTTGCAGCTACATCTTCTCCTTGAACATATGCTGTTCCAATGGCCAAAAGTGTTTCATTTTCTTTTGTTGTTGTATTCTGTGAGGATAAAAAACTAAATAAGAGGGAGAAGCTGCAACATGCACATGAGCACATCCTAAAAAAAAGAACTGGGTGCAAACCAAGAACTCCATGTCAATAGAAAGACTGACAAGAAAACTTACAAACAAAGTAACCATTCGCACAGTTAATGCACTTTCACAACTTTGCATTGGAATTGTAACCTTTGTTTGCCAAGGGCCACCCGATTTTTCTGGCTCCATGATTCGAACCTCAAATTCATCTACAGTGTAGGTCCTATGCAGTTCATCAGGGCTCAAGCCATCATGATCAATCTGATGACCACCTTCTTGGTCAACCAATGATGAAAGAACTTGATTCAATGGCTTAACAACCTGCACAAAGAGAAAGAGATCAATTGCAAATCCAAAATAAATTATGTGGAGAAAAATGAAAATACCTGTGCACATTTGGCCTTTGAGCAGTAACTAAGAAAAAGAATGTTTTTTTTTTTCACAAGCTAATAAACAGGGATAACAATTAAAATAAAAACTAATATGCAAGGATATTTGCAAACTAATGTTGATGCATCTTGCATTAGCTGTTTTTGAGTAAAAGCATTACTTCACTTTTCTTCAACCTGTACTTTTTCTGCCTCTGCCACTTATTTTGATAAGATTTTTTGGTAGTAAATAAAAAAGAAAAATTTGCCAAACTTTTTCCAATCCCTCATTAATATGGATCTTGATTTGTCTTTTCGTGCTCATGCTAGGGAATTTTCTAGAAATGACACACTGCACCCTAACTCGAGTGTGTTAAGTGGGCAACGGTTTGCTAGAATCACCCCATAAGTGACCCACTACAGCAATGCTTGGCTGTGGTGTCGAACAGCCAAGGGTTCCCACATCATTTTGGACGGGGGTAGGTAAAAAAGCTAGTCCAAGAAACACCACTTGGAATGTCGGAACATTAACAAGAAAAACTATGGAATTAGTAAACACTATGAAGAGGAGAAGGGTTAATATTGCATGCCTACAAGAACCTAAAAGGAAGGGTAAAAAAGCTAAAAAAAAATCAATGGTTTAAAATTATGGTATACAGGAGAGGTGAATAATAGTAATGGTGTAGCAGTAATAATGGATAAGGATTTAAAAAATGGAATTATAAATGTAAAAAAGAATTGGGGATAGAATAATTTTAATTAGGCCTATTTTAGGTGAGTAAATCATTAACATAATTAGAAGAAAACACTAAAAGACAATTTTGGGAAAACATAGAAGGTTTAATCCAAGAAATTCCAAATGAAGAGAAGATTTTTATAGGAGGAGATGTAAATGGGCATGCAAGGAAAATAAGTATACGATATGAAATAGTACATGGAGGATTAGGATTTGGGGTTTGGGAAGAGGAATGAATCAGGACCTATGATATTAGATTCTGCAGTAGCTTATGATATGGCAATTTTAAACACCATTTTCCAAAAGAAGGGTGAACACTTAATAGCATTTAAAAGTGAATCACACAAGTCAAATCGATTTTTTTTCCATACTAAGAGAACAGAACGAATGACATGTAAAGTTGCAAAGTTATTCCAAGAGAAAGCTTAACAACACAATGTAGATTAGTGGTGATAGATGTGCACATTAGGAAATGGACGAGAAATAGGGAAAAAAATAGGTGCCAAGAATTAGATGGGAAAACCAAAAAGGAGAAAAACTAGCTCAATTTAGAAAGAAGTTGACAATAGAAGGAAATTGGAATTTAGATGGAAAGATCAACGATATTTGGCTTGAAATGGCAAACAACATAAAGAAAACAACAAAGGTGGTCTTAGGAGAATTTAAAGGGAAATGGAAAAGTATTATAAAAAATTGGTGTTGGTGGTGGAATGAAGAGGTTCAAAATATAATCGGATTAAAATGAGCATATTACAAAGAATGCCAAGAAGATAAAAATGCAGAAAATTAAAAAAAATACAAATCCATAAGAAAGGAAGTTAAAAGAAAGTGCATGAAACTAAACATAGGGCTTATGTTATGATGAGCTTTACTATAAACTAAGCAGTAAAGAGGGAGAAAAATGAATAATATAAACTAGAAAAGCGGAGAGAAATGAAAGGTAAAGATTCAAACCAGTTTTTTAAAAGACGTGGGAGGCATGTGCTTGGAGGCATGCCTCCAGGAAAGGTGCCCCCAAAATGCCCTGAAGCGTGCAAGAGGCATATGCCTCAAATGCTTCAGACACCCACCCACCCACACACACACACCACATATAAAAAGACAGAAAAAAAGAAAAAAAAAAAAGGAAAGGAAAAGAAAAGAAAAGAAAGGGAAGGGAAAGAAAAAGAAAGAAAGAGAAGAAAAAGAGAAAAAGAAAGAAAAGAAAAGGGAAGGGAAGATAAGGGGAAATATTTTTATTAAAAATCTTCTTAATATACAAAAATTATTAAAAATAAAGAAAAATGAGATCCTCCCATCTCTTCTTCCTCCACCCCTTCCTCCTTCCTCCTCCCTCCTCATCCCCCTCCTCTTAAGGAGGCTTACACCTCTTACGTTCTAAACTATGCCTCACCTCTAGGTAACGGAATGCCTCGCGTCACATCCCCACATTTTAAAACATTGATTTAAATCATGTTCAATGCATTAAAGATGAAGATCAAAGAGTCTTGGTAAACAATGTTTTAAAAGTGCAAGGAGCAAAAAAGGCGCAAGGGCCATTTTGCACCCGAGGCGCAAGGTGAGGCGTGCACCTTTTTGAAGCAAGGCGCAAAAATACAAAAAATTGCTAAAAACCAAAAAAATGTCAAAAAATTCAAAAAAAATCAAAAATATTAATAAGAAATATAAACATAAACATAACATGTAAAGCATATTTAAATGAAAATTTAAAAATGAAATCAAACATGAAACATTTTAGTAGTCGTACAAGACTACAGAGACTCTTTAGGTTTTGAACATAAAATAAAAGAGAAGGAGAAAAGGAGAAGAAGAGAAGAAGAGAGAGAGAAGGAGAACTCGTGGGTGAAGCTTTGAAAGAAGAGAATGGTTGGAGTGCTTAAAACAGCCGCCCCACTCCTTAATTTATATACATGGTTTCCTAATTGTAAATAACTTAAATGCTTACATGGCAATAAAAGATAAGATTAAAATAAAACTAATCCTAGATAAGATAGAATAAAACTTATCCTTATCCTACTAGGAAAGCTGATCCTAATCAATTAAATCTAAGTACATCTCAGGGTGTCACACGAATACCCTCAATGTGGGGTCCACAGTTTCCCTAAATTTTCAAGCATGTAAAGCCACAATCTCCTTTTTTCATCAATTGCATTACTTAAAGTAGCTAATGTGATGTAAAACATATTACATTCCTGATTCTACGAGTCGCCTTTGTGCCACGCCCCTCGAGGCAAACCCAAACAAGTCCATGTTAGGGTCCTAAATTCTTAATTCTCACACAAAAAAATAATGATTTTATAATTTTAATTGTCTTTTAAGAAGATATTTTATTAAGATGAATGAATGAACATTAGAAAATAGGACTTGCTAAGGAACCCAGCCACTAGGTTCAGAAAAAAGCAACAAATTGTACAATTTTCAAAAGGCGCACTCCTGGGCCAATGCACAAGGTGCATCAGGTGCACACTTGGGCCAAGGAGCATCAAGCACACACCTATGCACACCATGCATGCACCTTTTAAAAGTGTTGCGCCTAGGACCTAGGAAAGGTGCCTAACCTAAAATGTGCCTCGCCTAGTGCCTTTTAACTCATTGTGGTAAAAGATGAAATCAAACAAAGATGAAAGAACTATTTTGGGAAGTGATTAAATGAACAAGGAGAGGGTGGTAATGGAAAAGAAGCTAGCAATACTAATATTGTTAACAATAATGCGTACCTTCATAAAGTTAGACCTACTAAAGTAAAGGATGCACAAAATAAGATAAAGAAGTGAAATGCATTAGGACCTGATGGGATTCCAATAGAAGTGTAGAAAGGTATGGGAGAGGTAGGCTTGTTATGCCTAACTAAGCTATTTAATAAGATAGTAAAAGAAAAGAGGGTGCCTGATGATTAGAGAAATAGAAGCATGGTGCCTATATTTAAGAACAAAGGTGAAATACAAAGTTATAAAAAACTATTAAAGGATTAAACACCCACATTTTGGAACTAATAGTCTCCTGACCCAAATCTTTTGGACTGCCTAAAGGTAGAGTTTCCATTTCAGTGAAACTTCCTTGTCTCTTTTTTCCAACCAACTTCAAGCTGCCATATAACTCCATTTCCTCCACCTTTTCGTCTTCCTCCTGCCTTGCCTCCCTCCAAAGGTTAGCTTCAATGGAGGACACTAACCAAACTGGTAAKAACAGTTCATCCACAATTACAGTCACCTTCCTCGGTATATCTTCTGGTTTTACTCCACCCAGTAGAATGGCTGCACTTCGCAGATCTCCCCAGAAGACACCATCAAGGCGAGCTCCACACAGCAAAGCAATTGAGTTTGCAGTTTCTTGATTCCAGAGATGGAATGGCAGCCCAACCACTCAGACAGTAACATTATCTTCCATTAAGAACACTTTCGAATTTGAAGAAAAAGACCATTTATAGACTGAAAAGGTCCCCAGAACATCTTGGATACAACATGCTCTAACATTTACCTGGTTTTBGAGAGGSTCCAATACTGCCTTAGCAGAATCAAACGGAGTTAAGATGAAGGTGCTTCTTAGCTCCAGTTTGAGCTTCAGTAGTTCTGCAACTTTCCACCAATCTGTCACCAATCCTCCAGCTTCAACCACTAGTGTTCTTTCCCATTTTCCTGCTGTTCCATCTGCCATCCAGGTAGGATCCCTCCTACTGTTTTCCATGGTTAAAAATTTCTTTTCTGGTCTTAGTTCCCTTTCATCAATTTCCAATAGTTCTTTTTTTTCCAATTCCCTTCTATTTAGGAATTTTGTTAGTATTCCAGCTATCTTTATCCATCCTTTGCCATTCTTCCCTTGAGGGAAGCAAACCATCTGCTTCCTTCCTTTAGAAAAATATTCAGTGAGAGATATGAATGCACCCTTTGCATTCCCCTTGTTCTCCATCACATACCTCCTACCTGACTCTGGGGACTTTTCTTTCCATTTTGTCTGTTTCCCTTTAGTTGCTGCATCAAAGACATATTCCTTCACCCAGACAATCATGTCTGAGCCTTCCACAAGAACCGTAGCCCTCTTCTGTTCTCTTATTTTCAGCCCCATTCTTCCTTTGACCCGTATTTCTTCAAAGAGAAAATCTTTGGCCTCTACCCTCAAAGCTGACCTCCATTTTGCTTTCTCCACAAAGCATCCTTCCACTAAGCCTCTATCCATTGCTGCCTTTTCTTGTTCTTCCTTTTCAATGCTATGGTCATCAGTGTGGTGCTATTAAGTTTTCCACAAAGCCTCCTTCCACAATGCTATGGTCATCACTAAGCCTTTACCTTTAGGTCTTTTAAGAATCAGATCTTTTTATTAACTACATCCTCCTGCAAGCAAAAACTCTGCACACATATCATCCAATCACACACTGGGAACATCTCCCATACGTTTATGTTAAATTCATGGGGAGATGTTCCCAATGTGCGGAAGGATTCTCATGCTTGCAGAGTGTGTTCAGAGTTTCAGCTAGCAGAGAATCTCATCTCCCTCCTGCTTCCTTCCTCACTAGTTTCAGATCTTCTACCCAAATCTCTTCCCAATTCCCTGCAACAATTTCCATAAAATTCCCTGAATCAACGATGTTCTGATCCTCTGGCTATGAGTTAAAACCAGTGTTTACCTCATTAGTCAGGTCCTTCTCTCCACATACATCACTTCTAGAATAAAATTGAATAGCTTCTAAAACCCCTGAATTGCTGTCAACAATTGCCTCAGTAAAAAGAACACCTAATTGCACTGCAGAAGTTGACCCAGCTCCATCTTCAACATTTCTATCTTGCTGAGCTTCACAACTTTTTTGAAAGCATCCACTACAGCCTAAGTGTTGCATTCAGTTCCACAACAACCTCTTTTTATCTGATGTAAAGTGATGAATTCAGCTATAGCTGCTATACAACTTTTTCATGTCTTGGTTGCGATGTAGATATTTTGTAACTTATTTCACAATTGTGCACACTGCACAATATGCCTGAATTTAATTCCTGAGGAAGATGTATTTTCTTATTTTAGAAATTTCTGAGTTGTGGTAGATAGCCAATTGTATGCTAAAATAAAAGTCCTGCACTTAGATTGGGAGAAAACCAAAATACGACATTTCAGCAATTTACAGAAAGTCAGAAACATATAGCAAGTCCCTAAGTGGGTTAAGTGTCCAATTCAGATTTTGACACTCATGCATTCTTGAGTGATACTTATGAAAATTGTTTTCTTCTTGGTAAAGACCAAAATCTACCAAGATTGCTTCTAGGTAGCAAATATAAACTTTTTATACTGCTAGAATTCCCAACACATCCATACTTTGGTAAATACCTTTTCTACGATGTGTCTACAAATCCGTAATTTTTTCAGCTTGTTAGGTCAGACCCCTAGACCTAGACTCTTGGATTCTTGAGGAATACTTACAAGTTACAAAAATTGTTTTTTTTTCTTTTCTTATTATAAATCAGAATCTAGCTATATAATAAAGTCCACCTTTTTAGTAGATTGTTTCCAGACAGAAAACATCAACCTTTTAATTTACTTATGTCCATTCTCTACAGGTATATACAGTTAGAGTTCACAAGACCTCCATACTTCAGTAAATACTTTTTCTAAGATGTGTCTATAAACCCATATTTTTCCAACTTGTTATATCAGACCACAAGACAATATTCAGGTTCTGACCCCACTACCAATATCCACAAGCATAGCTTACGGTGTCCAACTGAAAGTCATTTCTTAGTACACTACAAAAAACAAAGTTGATGAGAGGAAAAGCTGTTATATCTTGGCATTGTTAAAACACGTTTACAGGATTCTCAAGGACCATCTACTTTCTCGTGGAAGCAGCTACTATGGTTCCTATCTTATCAATTTTTACCCTATTGATCTCAGCTCATCACTATTGATCTGATAATTCGATACCTTTGGGTGATTGTGTCTAGAAATTTATTCATTCATATTGCTTCCAGTCATGTTTTTAACAAGGTATATCTCAGTTCTGTGAAAAGCAATATGATTGCAAGGCTTTGGACACAAGTTGTGCTAGGCATGGTGGTGATTTTATCTTGAAGAAATTTAGGCCAGAAAATGCACAAACCACTTACAGGAATAGAAACTATCAAAGGGTATAAATTCTTCTCAGCAAAGTAAGTGACTTGATGTGGAGTTGCCTTCAAAGGAATCTGTGGAAATAAAAATAACAAGCATATCAATGCTGGGAACCACCCTTATATAGAAATTTAGAAAATTGGGACCCTCGAGATTTTATAGAGAGAATGAAACCAACCAACCTTTTGAACTGGCCAATAGTTGTCATAACTTGATACAGATGGCAGTTGGCAGATTTTCAAGAAACCCTAATACCAACGAAGAAAGTATCAAGATTATGAGAAATTATTGGACATATATAAGTATATTCTTGTATAAGAATCAACCAGATTATGGCAATCAGAAATTGCCTTTGGTACCTGGGATGTCACATATATAAGGCCATGATTGCAATTTACATTGTGAAGAACAGTAAATGCCACAATCGAACCATCACATAACTGCAAAATAGATGAAGGAAAGATCAAAATAATAACGAACTTTATGAAAAAGACAATCAGAAACCTACTTAAGAACCAAGTGAAACAAAATTAAGCCAAACATTTCCTGTAGTGGTAAAAGTTGAGTCATAACTAAGGGCAAAATCAACCTTGCTTCTATTGCAACATAAAATCACCATTTTCTTTTATCATTTTTATAAGTTTGTATACTAGACAGGCCTGGCGAGTTCACAATCAACTATACCATTGAGGGGATTGAAGAAGAAATTGTAGATTTCCAAATTCAGCAAGAATTAAGGTCAGATTCTCCTCCACTATGTGGATATTTATTAGGATATTCCAGGCAAGCTAGTTAATGCTACCTAGAGGGGGAGTATAGTATGCAATGTTTTAAAATGCAGAGGCATGATGTGAGGGGTTCCACTACCTAGAAGAGTGAGGTGTAGTTCAGAATGTAAGAGGCATAAGCCTCCCAAACACAAGGAAGCCTCCTTAAGAAGAGGAGAATGAGGAAGGAGGATCTCATTTTTCTTTCTTTTTCCTTCCCTTCCCTTTCTTTTTTTTTTTTTTTTTGATTGTTATTCCCTTCCCTTTCTTTTCCTTTCCTTTCCTCTCCTTTTTTCTTCCTTTTTCTTTTTTTCTGTTTTTAATATGAGGTATGTGTGAGGCATATAGCGCGTACACCTCTAGCACGCCTCATGAAAAAAGCACATGAGGCTTATGCCTCTTGCACCTGAGGCGCATGCCTCAGGGGTGTCAACGCCTCCAGCATACGCCTCAGGGCGTTTTGGGGGCGCCTCCAGGCGGATGCCTCTCACACCTTTTAAAACACTGATAGTGTGCAATTTGTAACATGTATTCCGAATGGGTTATTTTAGGAGAACAACTATATTCAGGGATTTTGATGTAATCATCACCATATCCATTATGTTTCACCATAAATCCTGTTTCACCATTTATATGGGTGGGGTCAGCTACATAAATCCTGTACCATTCCATTCTGTTCAGTGTCATATCCATCATTAAATTATGGGTGCTTTAATCATTCCTTACAGCTTCCACCCAAGTCCTTTCTCTTATCTTCCATCTTTTTGCTCTCTCTTCTCTCTTCTCACACCTTATTCATGACAAAAGATTATATAACCACAAGAGGAAGAGAATACCATCAGTACCATATTTTAATAATAACAGAAAATTTAAATACTTGAGAAGGAAAAGCAGTGGAACACCACTCTCCAAGAAACATGGAGCAGTAAGACATCCAAATATAACAGCCACTATCTGACAATCTAAGGAAAAGGCAAATGATATTTATAAGCTTTCCCCTAGGCCCAGCATTCCCCATTCCAATCTCTTGTAGTATCAACTATGCTGTTCATAGAGCTGAGTGTCAAACTGAACAAGTAGTTCAGATTGATGCTATGGCTTCTCTGATTTGAGCTTTCAATCGCCAAGGTGCTTGAGTTTATGATCATTTGGAGGTTTGAATCAATAGTTGTAGAGTTAGTTAGCATTTTATTTATGTTGCTGTTAGCATGTTAGTAGTGTTAGAAAGGTAGTTATTTCAGTTATGTTAGCTGCTGTTTATTTGTGTTAACAGTAGGGGCAACATTGTAAGTCTACTATGTTTTAAGTATTAATATAAATAGCAACTGAGTGGGCAGCAGTCATCAACTGACCCACACTCTTTTTCTGAAATCTCCTCTCTACGATTTCTCTCTTCTTCTTCTTCTCTCTCTCTCTTTCTCCTCTTTCTCTTCTATTTTCTGAACTTTCTCTCTTGTTGAATTCTCATCTACAGTAGGACTGATTACAGTCTCTACAACACAAGTTGGTATCAGAGCCAACATAGGGTTTCTCATGTAAGTCTAATCAGGTTTACTGCATGAGAACTTCCTAGGGTTACAAGTTTTAGCAAGAATAGTCCATCAGATGGTTCTTGGAATCACTGATTGAGTGCAGCAGCTTTTCATGAGGTTGTAGAGCCTTGGAAAGTGTTCGGTGATCAGGAAGAATCGAAGGGAAGGAAAGATTTTCAAGATTAGGGTTCAGACAAGGATTGGAAGTGGCAGCCAGCCTTTTTTGGGTAAGTCTCAGTTTCATTTTGACATCGACAGCCACCAGAAGTTGGTTAGAGTGATCTGGAAGGAGCGGCTGCTTTTCTCTTAATTTCTCTGGACTTTCTTTAGGGTTTTTTCAAACCTACAACCAGTTCTAGTTGGTTAAACCCCAACATCCTGTCTGTTATTGATTTCGGGGTAACAGTTAGATCTGTTTTACTATTCATATTGACTGATAATTACTTTTGGGACATTGTTAGATCTGTTTCAACATTTCTGGGTGTTTGCTAGACCTTTCTTCAGCAGTCTAAGTGGGCTGTTCCCAATTTCTGGGTGATAATTACCTCTATTTCAGCATAAAAGGGAGTTCTTTCGATAAATTCCCTGATAGAGATGACAGAAACTGAGTTAAAGACCCAAGGGGAAGGTATGTTGGGGGCTGGAAACATGACTGAAAATAATTTTCAGATTACCACTGTCAAATTTGATGGATCAAATTACTTAGAATAGGCTCAGTCAGCTATGATGGCTATTGGGAGAAGAGGAAAATTAGGCCATGTGATGTGGGATGTAAAGAAACCTGCCAAAGAAGACCCATTATATGCCAAATGGGTTCAGGAGAACTATTTGGTCATGACTTGGTTGTGTAATTCCATGCAGCCTCATATCAGCCGAAATTACTTGTGGGCCAAAACTGCTAAGGAAATTTGGGACATCATGAGAGAAACCTATTCCCAACCACTTAATGTTGCTAGGGCCTATGAGCTAAAGTGTGAAGTCAATAATCTTAAGTAGGAAGAGAAATCGGTCTCAGTTTACTTCTCTACTTTGAAATCCTTGTGGCATGAAATTGATCACCTAGAGACAATTAAGTGGGAAAGCCAAAAAGATGCACAGACATACAAAAAACAGGTTGAAACCAATAGAGTATTTGAATTCCTAGCTGGGCTGAATCCAGAATATGATATTGTGAGGCAAAACTTCTCACTAGGGAGAATGTGACCTTGTCTCAGGCCTATTCCTTAGTGCACAGTAAAGAAAGTAGGAGAAAGGTTACTCTACAATATCAGCCTATGGAATCAGCCCTAGCAGTAGTGAAACCAAAGTTTGGGGGGGTGACAAGGAAATAGATATGAAGAAAGAAGACGAGAGGGAAGTAATTTGTGATCATTGCAAGAAACCGAAGCACACAAGGGGTATTTGTTGGAAGCTATATCCACATCTAATTCCAGCAATGCTACGAAACAGAAAAGGGAATGCTAAGTGGCACTATGGCAATTACTACTGATGGTGTATCATCCTCGAGCACAAGAGCCACATCTCTAGACGCTTTAGTTGTTGTCCGAGCTGCTCTAACTCAGTTAGAAAGTGAAGTTGGCACTTCAGCCCCCTCATCTCAGTTACCTACTACAACATCAGCCACTTCCACTTTAGCATTCGCTCATTCAGGTACAAGAGCTTCATCATATCATGCTTCAGCCACATGTAACAATGAAGCTTGTTGGGTTATAGATTCAGGTGCATCTGACCATATGACTGGCTTATCCTCATTGTTTACTACTTATTGCTTATCTTCTAGCCGAGACAAAGAGTCTATTGTTGATTTCTCCCTTGTTCCCATCTCTGGCAAGGGAGACATTAGATTGTCTAATGCCATCTCCTTGTCCTCAGTTGTATACGTTCCTAAACTTAGCACTAACCTGCTTTCAGTTAGTAGCATTACTAAAAATCAAAACGGCTCAGTGACTTTCTTTACTGATCAGTGTGTTTTTCAAGATTTGGAGACAAGGAAGGTGATAAGGATTGGTCGTGAGACAAATGGAATCTACCAGCTTGTGGGCATTCAGATGGGGAAGATAAAGAAGTGGGGAGGTCATTAGTTTCTCAGTCTGTGAGTTAGGTCTTTGAAGAGTTTATTTCCCAGCTTGTTTGAGTCTAGTTTAAAATGTGAAAGTTGTGAACTTGTAAAGCATTGTAGAACAACCTATTCTTTGAGTAATAAAAGTAGTATTCCTTTTGAAATTGTGCATACTAATGTTTAGAGACCATGTCACAGATACTTTCTGCTATTTGTTGATGACTACACTCGTTTCTCATGGGTTTATCTTATGCGCTCTCGAGATGAGGTCCCTAACCTGACTCGGATTTTCTATCAGATGGTTTTTACCCAATTTGGGGTCAAAATCAAAGTATTCAGATCCGATAAACATATTCAGGACTTTGCAAAACCATTGGCTTAAGGGGGAGTGTAGAGTTAGGGCCTGTTGGTTTTCTCTTAACTCTTAGCTCTTAAGAGGAATCTTTTAACTTTAAGGGGAAAATGGTTGTTTGTTTCCTCTTATCTCTTATCTCTTAAAGTGCAATCATACTACTTTTTGTTTTCCAATGATACCCCCAAAAAGACAAACAAAAACTCTCATATATGGGGTCAAAGTGAATATTTGATAATTTTCAGAATTCAGGACAACATTCTCTGCAATCAGAGTTCTGAGGAGAGAAAAGTTCACTAATACCAATATACCTCTTAATGTAATTATTGCACTTTCAGATGTTAGACTTCTGAGCAAACGAACAGGCCCTTAGCTAGTAAGTTATTTATGTTGTTGTTACAATGTTAGTAGTGTTAGAAAGTTAGTTCTTTCAATTATGTTAGTTGTTGTTTATCTGTGTTAGCAGTAGGGGCAATATTGTAAGTCTACTATGTTTTAAGTATTAATATAAATAGCAACTGAGTGGGGCAGCAATCATCAACTGACCCACACTCTTTTTCTGAAATCTCCTCTCTACGATTTCTGTTCTCTCTCTTCTTCTCTCTTCTTTCTCTTCTATTTTCTGAACTTTCTCTTGTTGAATTCTCAACTACATTAGGACTGATTACAGTCTCTACAACACAAGTATAGTTAACCTTTATAACCATGCAATTTGGCCCACAATTATGAATTAGATGGTTATGCACTCCTGCTCTTAACTATAGTTCCTTTCTTTTTTAACATTGAGGCTAGTTCACTCACCTGTGGATGGACTCGAAGCCGTTCTCTGCATATCATGAACCAAGCTGGCCTTGATCCAGAAACAAATAAGCCTTGATAGCCCCCAACGTTCTTGAAAATGGTAATTCTTTGGCAGGTACTTAAGCCTGAAGTCTCCTCCCTTGTGTATGATTCAAGGGGCACTCGGACAAACCTCAAGTTTCTAAGTCTAGAAGTACTTATACTGCTCAAGCTAACAGAATTTTGCAGCGAAGTTGCTTCTTCAGTTTTCAGTGAATTCTCTGAACCTTCATATAGGAAAGCATGGTAACAGAAAACCGTCCCATCAGTCAATATTCCAAAAAGAAATGGACGAGTATGCTGCCCCAACCACCTTTGCATAGCTAACTCTACAACTTTCATGTTCAGCACATTTTCTTTCTTTACTTTCCCAGCCATTTCATCGGAGTTTTTGTTTCTAGATACATGAGGATCTTTGGATGGCTCCCCAATGACAGTATCAACAAGGTGAGTCTTTCCAGACACAAATTTATCCACAGAGAAAACACATTTGAAACTAGGCACCTCAAAAATTTCAAGAGTTCCACTTTCATAACAAACCAGACAGTATATATCACCCTGGTCAGACGGAGCTCCATCAGCTCCATCAATGGCTTCACCAATGCCAGTAGAAAGCCATGCATCTGTACTTGTCTTACGAAGCCAAGGCTCAGGACCTTTATCATGATAAAGTGTACAGGCAGATATTGACTCCTTTAAGCTTTCAAATACAGCAGGAACAGTAACAGAAACCGTGCAAGTGGAAGGATCTGTAAAACAAAGTTCAAATGAGCTTACATGGCAGAACTTCACAAAAATTGGTAGAACCATAAAAAGAGCAATGGGAAGTTCAATACCTACAGAATCCCAGTATGTATGGTTGTATAAAATTCTGAGTCATTGGACAAATATCAGCTAACAAGAGTTCATGTCATACGTCATAGTATTTCAATTCAGTGGATATTTTCCATAAAAGTTAGCTGTGACAATTGCAAGTCCATATTTTTACTAAAAAAATGAAATAGATCCTGATGAATTGAAGATTGCCTTTTATATTTCTAATGCAGAAATCCCAGCACTTATTCTAAACATGCATCCTTTTTCTTAATAGTAATGAAAAACTTCATTAATTTTAAATGTAAAGATGTAGAAAAGAACCTTAGACCAAAAGAGAATATTACAATATACCACACTCTATGCCCAAAACTATGTGCCAACTATAAAATAAATCCCTATAGCTTAAAGAAAGTATTAACTGCTGACATCAATATATAACTGTACCAAACACTACTTGAAACCATGAATATTATTTATTTTTTTGTTCTTTCAAGACAACCAAATAAACATGGAAGAGAGACCATAATAACTCCTATAAAAATGTGATAGACGGAGGAAAAAGTGAAATAGATATTCTTTGATGACTCCTCTAGTTTGCACATACATACATATAGCAAGCATCTTGTCAAGAAGTACAAACTGCATAAAAAACCTCAGCATGGGGAGGGATAAAACTGTCACAAATCAACTGTCCCTCCCCAGACCCCGCATTGGCAGAATCCTTATCCAATTAAATTCAATTTAAACATATATTCTTATATATACCCTTCTCTGTGGATACGCAGGGATAAGGCTGCATATATCTCTCCCTCCCCAGACCCCAAATTGGCAGAAGCCTCGTGCACTGTGCTGCCTTACTAAAGAGTCATAGGTTCAAGTTTCATAAGTGTTATTTGCGATTCAAATTGTTCATGACATATTAGTTCAGCCTATAAATAATATATAATAGTTTGATTTTTGACCATTTTAGTTAAATATATTAAAGCTATTCAATATCCTATTGGAATGCAAATCTAATATAAATCCAATGGATAAGATTTCATTTGAATCCAAATACTAATGAATCAAATATAGATTTAGGTATATTTGGTTAAATCTGAATCGTTTGCAGCCCTAACTTTTACATAACCAACTTACCAGAAATTTCTTTCTCAAGAATAAAGAGCCATTACCCAATGTTGCTCCAACTATATGGGTCTTGGGAGGGGTGGACTAGATATTGACCTAACTAACTTTTAGCATTTTGAATTAAAAGCCATTTTATATGTAATGGCAAAACCCTAGGTCCCAACTTCCAAAAATTCTCTAGTCAAGACTGGTACGGGATCCTGAAGTACCAAAGTAACTTGCTCTGAGAAAAATTGATATAATTATAACCCTGGCAACTTAAGAGGATAGCCTGTACATCCAAGAACGGAGAGAGTTGAGAGTACCAGAACTACAGAACATAGTCTCCCAAAATCTGATTTCAGACACAGGCCAACCTTGAATTAAGTTATAGTAACATGGTCTTCATGGATTTTTTATTTTCATCAGTAACTGGAAAAAATTTTATTGATTGATTTGATGTAAAAGAACACTTTTACATTGAAGTGCCTCAACATCTGTTTAATTGGCCTAGCCCCTGGCCACCCCTCTATTTTTACATACTCCCACTTTAGACAATCAAACCCCAGTGACTTGGCTATAGTTGCTCCTTGTTTTGCTAAACCATTTGCAACTTCCAAATTTCTAATTTTTCTCATAAAAAGCTTCCAAATTTCTAATTTGTCTCCTAGCAACCTCACAACTGTATGAAAGTCCTCTTCCACCAACAGAAATCTGGAATCAAAGTTTGCAGCCAACATCAAATCTTGTAGTACTGCCAATAATTATACCCTGGTTCAATCCCCAAACCCAAAGGTGCAGAATACAAGGCAATTATCTCCCCTATGATGTTTCTAAAAACCCTCCAATGCTTAAGTTGCCTGCATTCCCCAAACTCCACCATCACGGTTTAGATTGAGAAATTAGGAATACGAGGATAGCATGGAGAGGAGGAAACATTCCTACTCATAGCAGAATATGCCACCTTCTTCCAATTTCTTACAATACCATCCATAATAAAAAGAGCAAAAGTATCAGTAGCCTCCACCAAATGTGCAACATTGATGAGTTTCAACTAGAGCTTCCTTTGAGATTTCTCTTTGAAAATTCAAGCAACTCTCTTCACAAATACTCTACAATACAACTGCCCTCATTCATCTCATAAAATTTTACCTTCTCTGGAGAAGGGAATAAACAAGAGCTAACTAAGTTTTGCATTTTCATGGTAAAAAAAGAAATTTACCAATCAAACAAATTACAAAAATTGGATAAGGTAATTAAATAGCGCCCAACCCAAGAAGAGACATGCATCAAAACATTGTAAGGACAGCAGAGTCAATTACAATGTGTTTCCAATCACAAATTTAAGATTACCCAAAAAGAGTCCCCAAAGCTTTCTCTTTGAACATCAGAAAATTCTGGCAGCACCATTATCAATCAAGAATCATGTTTCCAACCATAGAGCAAAGTCTTTCTTGATTTTTTTCATATTTTCTGAAGATATGCACTTGCACCCCTATAGAGAGAAGAAAACCTCTCAAATGCTAACTGCAAATAACAAGAGATTAGTAGGTGGAACATAGATTACAACTTGCTCTACAAATGAAAAACATGATAGAAGAGCTTATTTCGGATGGAGAACCATGAGAGATGGCAGAAAAAAGAAATGAGGCAGAAGAATAAAAAACGAGAAAGGTGATTCTGCTATTGGGGAAGAAAGATCAAGGAACCCCCCCCCCCCCAATGATTCAGTGGGAGAAAGTGCAGCAGACATCTCAAAATGCTTAAGACCTCTCTCCTTAGCCCCAGATCCCAAGCTAGACCATGTATCAAAAAGGAAAACACACTGGAAACAATAGATCCTTTGAGGAAGAAACCTAAAAGACAAATACTCCCACCATAAAACTCTACAAAAGCTTGGTTCTTATAGCACAAACACCATACCTTACATGATTCAGCAATATAGGAAGGAGAAAAAAAGACTACTTTCCAAGGATAAGCTAAGGAAGTTCTTGCATTTAATCTTGCATCCCAACAACTGGCCAACAAACCATGGATCCTCTTAACCAAGGCCACATTTCTTTGAATCCAAAGGCAAACTCCAAAGCCATTTGCCTAATAGAGAAGAATTACTCTTTAGAAGCTATGTACAGAAACCAAGTCTCACTATTGTTCTCTATCAAGAACCATATCTTCTAAACCTTAAATCCACCAAGATTTCAGGCCAACAAACCCACTTGCAATTTAGAAAATGGACGCTCCACTTAATACCTGCAAAATTTAAATGAGGTATAATAGATGGGGATTCCAATCAAAGCATGCTCAGGAAGGGCGATCGACTATCAAAAGATAAAATAAGACTATTTTAGTATCAAATTTTCTTCTTCTTCCTTTATACATTAAAACTTGCCCATAAAGAAGGGACATTCCAAGCAAGTGACGATGTTTTTTAGGGCTGAAACTTACCCCCTGAAACAGAAAGTATAAAAGGAGCACATATGGCCCTTTTGCACTCTCAACCATCTTGTCATGTGGAAGAGTCCTGGGTAAATTTTGTAGCTGATTCTACTAAATGAATACCATCTAAGATATATAGATAAAATTCCGTAGTCTCCTTTTTGCTAACACCATCTAAGTTCACTAATATATAAAATAGGAAATAACAAAAAATATTTTAAGCATCAATAACTTGTAATCAAAAGTTAAGTAAACAAGACAATATATCAATGTTTCAAATACTTTAACCCACATGTTGGAAAAGCAACATGCCTACTAAAAATAATATGTCCAAGATTATATCACACAATACCTCCAATGAGAAGCTGAATACTCCCATCACTCATTCTTAGTAACACATATGGATCAGCTATAGAAGCAGATGAAACAGTTAGATTATCAGAGCCAGAACTTGATCCAGGATTAGGAGATCCTAAACTTATATCTTGTGTCATGTAAGAACCATCAAGGACCCGAGCACCACGTGCAAAAATCTGGACAACCCGACGCCTGGAAAAAGTAAAGTCATAAGGTCTTATACTTGTATCATCTCTCAATAAAAATCTTCAATTTCCACATTCTTAAGGAAACTTTTCGCAATCACACTAGAGAAAAATTCAATAAATCAACAGAAAAATTAAAAAAAAAAAAAAAAAAAACTTTAAAATCAGATCACTAGACATCACCCACTGATAAATATAAGGCTGTAAGATCAAGATAAAGAGAGCAAGGGAAGAAGAGAAGAAAGATTGATAGGCTCCAAAACACCAGTTTCAAGGAAGTTTTAGGTTCAAGGAATGTCACAACCCAAAAGGTTGATGACCAAGGCTGTCACCACCCAAAAACAAACAAACCAACCAACCGCAGAAGAATGCTGTATAGCGGTCTAGTGTCTAACAGATCAAGAAAATCTCCAAAAAGCATACAAGTTACACCTAGACCTGTTCGTGGGCAGCCTGTTGGGCTCAGCTTTACACTACTTCAGCCTCGGGCTTCAGACCAGGCCCACTCAAATTTTGGGTAGGATCAAGAGAAGAGAGAGAGCAAGGGAGAGAAGAGAAGACAAATTTGAAAGGCTACAAAAGATGGGTGGCAGCGTTCACTTATTATTTATTTTAAGGTGACATCATAACAACTTAAAGAGAACAAAAAGACATATATGCCCCTGCAGCAGTATAATACATGTTTCAGCCTACATTTTAACAAAAAAGATTAGGGGCAACATCTGAACAGCTGTGAAGCCTAAACTTTTCTGTCTAAAAATCAGAAGAAAAGAGAGCAAGGGAGGGAAGAGAAGAAATATTAGAGAATAAAAACCTATTCAGGAACCTCACCTAACAGCTTAAGCTTTTAGGTTGAATGGTTCATTGAGAAGAAAGAGTTAAAAGGCTCCAAAAGGATAGGCTGGTGGTGCCCACTTCATTATTTATAGTAGTGAGACATCATAACAACCTAAAAGAATAAAAAGACATATATGCCCCTGCAGCATTATAGTACATGTTTCAGCCCATAATTTAACAATACTGTGAGAATTTGAGAGAAAAAATGAATTGATTGTATTGTCTTGGAAGGAGCATATACACAGCTTTATATGGAATTACAGACCTAACTTATAGGGCGACAAAATAGGAAACTAACTTTTCCTAGAAAACTAATTTCTATATCAATGGGATTCTCCAATTAATATCCCATCATTCTAGGATATCCCATGATTCTAGGAAACTAACTTATGTATGTTTCCTAAAATGAAGGACCTAAAATTATGGAGAATCAATCAGAGAGTCAATCTTCTACTTTCCAACAAATACGAATTAGGTGCACCATCTGAAGAGCTGTGAAAACCTAAACTTTTCTGTCAAGGAACCAAGACCCAGAATTTAAAGAGGGCATAGGGGCTAAAAGCAGGAGATAAAGCCTGTGGAAATATCACCATATCAGAAATTTTACGCTTTAGCATCAGAAATTATGATAGCTGACAGAGAATTGCATCAAGGATTGCAAAGCCTCTAAAAGCTAGACTGAAACTCATATCATTCAATTTAAATTAGTTGGAACTGATTGACTGCACAGTATGCCTTCAGGAGGCAACCAAGGATTGCAAAGCCTCTAAATCTGGCAAGATTTAAGAATCTGAAAGAGAGACTGCAGGAAGTGGCAATCAAAAAGGCAAAGCACTCATATGCCTTCAAGTGCTTCAACGCAGCCTTCCCAATTTTACAGACCAAAGCTTTGCGGGTATGATGAAGCCAGCCAAGAGTCGTTAGGAAGAGGAAGAAGACGATGAGGAGTTTGTTTAGAAGAGACAGGCTTCTTCCCAGAAAGGGTTGGGAAGAAGAGCGAATAGAAAGAAAATGATAGAAGAATGGCTTTATTCAAACTGTTCTTGTTCTGCTCTACCAGTGTTTTAGGCACGCACCTTTTTAAGCAAGGTGAAAAAATAAAAAAAGGCTAAAAAAGTAAAAAAAATTCAAAAAATGCAAAAAAAATTCAAAAAGGTGTGCGCCTTTTGAAAGGGCTGACCTAGGACCTGGGCGAGGCGCCTACCCTGAAATGTGCCTCGCCTGTGCACCTAGGCGCGCCTTTTAAATCATTGTGCCCTAATCAAATGTTCATTCATTTTTGGGAAAATTTCTTAAACTACCCTTACTGTTTAGCTAATTGATTAACTCTACCCTTACTGTTTAACTATTGTCTTAGAGTACCCCCCAAGTTTTCTGACAATTGACTAGCTCTACCCCTGCCATTAGCATTCGTTAATGTTCCGGCAAAATCCGTACACATGTGACATCACGTGATGTATAATTTTTTAAAACCCAATATTACCCTCCACCCCTCTTCTATAAGCCGGGTAAGAATCACCGCCCGTGAGCATCCTATTATGACCACTTCCAGCAAGTTGCAAATGCAATCATCACATCTCTAGCAGCTCCAAGCTGGGATAGTATGTTTCCAATGACTTCCACAGGAAGATTCTCTATAATCAAAAATAGTAACCACATGAAATTTGTGAAATGATATGCTCTTTCAAGTTCACAAGCAAGCATGGTTTTCCGATGAACGCAAAGTGGCATTGTGGTCGTGGAATCATTAACTGGGCCTGTACCGGCCTCCTCTATCTTGTTCCCAGCTCAAGTTATCCAAGTCATGATCACCATAGTAATGAGAAATCCCCTTTCCTCATTTTAAAAATCCATCCTGAAAGATACCATCGATGGGATTGAAGACAAAACAAATGTGTGTCTGAATCGAGAATCCAATCATAAGATTGAATAGCGGAAAGCTCATCTTCATCCATCTACACAATTGTACACTGATCCAAACAGAGAGTTGCATGCAAAATGTAGTGTCGAAGTAGCAAATTTGATAAAATGAGAATGCAAAACGTATCATACAGAGATTACACCAAGATTTGTCCATATGTGATCTCTGAGTGGTGATTAGTCGACCACCTCTTTACCCAAACAGCTTTTTTCCAAGCGTGCTTAGGATCCAAACCCAATCTGGTGGTCAGTCAAATGGCTGAAGACGAAGTGGGGTGGTCCATGTGAGAGCCGATCAGAGCAGGGGATGAAAAGACCTCAGCATCTGTGGATGCATTCCTAAAATACCCTTCTAAGTCCACTCCATTGCTGAGGTTGGTGACTAAAGAAGAACCTATTGTTGTTGCGGAAGTGGCAGAGGTGTCGAAAGTTGCAGCAGCAGCAGAGATTTAGTTTGAACTACAAAAAACAGGGGAACCAGTGGAGGAGAACCAAGTTGTTTCTTCTCCGTCAGTGGCTAACCTCGACCTCCCCTGTCTGTCGATTCAACTTTCTCCCTCCTCTCAACTTCCACTATGCCTGATGATTCAAGTAGAACCATTGAAGGCGGTGTGGGAATAGAGTATCTAATCAAATGGAAAGATAGACATACCCCTGTAATCGCCAAAACCATAGCTAACATCTCTCTTGAAGGACTATAACTCGAGAAAATGGATGTCGCTAATACATCCACGAGCTGCCGACACAGAGCAGGTCTCTAAGCTCCAGAAGTCCCTTTGGCCTTCTCAAACTGGGTGGAGGCACAAACACAACTGGGATATCTCTCTAACGCATTGGACTGGAGTAGACTCTTCTCGAAGTTTGCCTCTCACAGTTTTTTTCTTTAACTTAAGGGCAAAAGGGACATTTCATCCTTTTTGTTACGATTTAACGATAATGGAAATTGTCAAAAACAGTAGGGGTACTCTAAGACAATAGTTAAACAGTAAGGGTAGACTTAGTCAATGAGCTAAATGGTAAGGGTAGTTTAAGAAATTTGCCCTTCATTTTTACTAATAAATCTCATGACTCTTGTATCATCCCCAACACTCCAGCAGAAAAGAACCATTTATCTCACTCACAAAGCAAATCCTTCCTAATAAAGAACAAAAAAAGGTCAAGCCCACAAGGAAAAAGCATGATATATGTAAGTTGTTGTATCTATAATAAGCAGATAAATAGACAAGACAAAAACAAAAAGAACAAAGAAGGGAATAGTAAGTGTTTCCCACATTTAACATGAATTCCCATCAATAATGATCTAATCTAAAAATGAGCAAACTTTGTTGAATGCATAGACACATCCAAGGAACATAAAGGAGACAAATTAGCAGCAAACAGTCAATAGAGCACATCTCCAACGAAGTTATAAATTGAAGGTAAAAATACAAAACTTCATTACTTACGCCCGAAGTGGGGTGCAAAATTCTTAAAATTTTCAAAAAAAAATGCTAAAAATAAAAAACATCAAAAATAGTATTAAAAAATGCATACTTAATTTACAAATTAAATGTTTGAAAAAGCCTACCAGCTCAAATTAAAATAAATAAACATAGCATATAAAACACATTCAAGCACTCAACCATTCAAGCATGCAAAACTTTCAATTTCTTTATTTCTTTCCAATTACATTACCCTAATTCTACAAGCCACTCTGTACTGAGCCCCTTGAGGCAAGCCCAAACATGTCTATGCTAGGGTCTTGAATTCTTAATTCATACATTAAAGATTGGTTTTTTATTTCAATTATAGTTAATTAACTTTAAAAATATGTCTTGAATTTAAAAAAAAAAATGAATGAATAACATTAGTAAAATGCAAGGGTTCTTGGAGCACTGGCAAGCCCCAGACAAGCCATCATTCTTTAAGAAAGGTAAAAAGCACAAATTTTAACCAAGGTGTGCACCTAGGCTTAGGAGCAAGGTGCATGCCTTTTTAAAGGTGCTGCTCCTAGGCCTAGGCGAGGTGCAGGCCTTGAAATGTACCTCACATGTGTGCCTAGAAACCCCTTTTAAATCACTGCTCCAAATCTAGACTAACACCATTACACTGTTTCTTTTTCATTAAGATCATAAATTTTGTATACCAATAAGTAATTTAATGGATATTAAGGGTTCTAAAAGACCCAAGGGCAGCCCAAAGGATGTCCATTCAAGTATAATAAAATATTTTAAGACCAACCATTTTACGGAGGACATTACCCATGAAAGGGCAGAAAAATGAAGTGGATCAGATCTGAGCTCAAAAAATTGGGATAAGGTTATGTGATGCCAAGTTAAATTTACATGTGTACTGTGCAAATTAAACAAGACAATTAAGCACATTTTGAGACATGTATGGATCCAGGAAGCACAACCAAGACATCAAAAAGGAGATATAGTCTAAAGGACATAATAATTGAGGTTTGTAAGCAGCAATATAAACTTCTAGTTAGTTCTATCAAACAAATGATGCTTAGAAGATGCAAAGAAGTGAACCCAAAATAAATTATTTTTTAAAACAAGAAAGCATACATTAGTATATATACATTACCTTCCAAACAAATTTCCAGCAGTAACAGTACTTCCCAGGACATAATACTCAACAGTTTCTGTAACTTCTCCTAGAAGATCAGCAGTCTCAAGCACCTGCACAGAGGAGAAAAGGCAATAGTAAGGCTGAGCAAAAGAGAAGCGCTTTCACAACCAACCCAAAATCCAAATCTTAGCAGCAGCAGGCAAAGTCTGCCACCTTCCATTCCTGTTTTCCAGAGTGATAACAGAAATAGTACCTCTGTTGATAATTAATAAAAGAGTAAATAATGTACAGCCAGGCAAAGTTTGGCACCATCAGCAGAAAATAACGTGATATGAAATTTAGTGCATCCAGCACCCAACAGTTTAGGTTCAGTATGTGCTTGGCTCAACCAGAAGCCAGCCCAAATAAAAGAAATAGAACTACCAAACTCAACCTTATAGGCAGCAACCCTTTCCAACCGAACCTGTGAAGGGTTCACCTATTCTTGGTGAAGGTTATATTTACAAAATTTCAATGTCGCTATGTCACAAGTTCCCAATCCCAACAAGTATAGCCAAAATAATTGAAAAGTGAATGAGAAACTTCCTGTGGCAGGAAGGATAATTTCAAGTTCCACCTAGTCAAGTGGAGTAAGATATGCAGCTCAAGGAAAGCAGGGGTCTAGGGGTGAGGAGAATTAGAAAATTCAGCGTGGCTTGTTCGGGTAAGTGGTATTGGAGATGGAACAAACCCACCAGTTTATGGAGAAGAACCATTTTGGGAAAATATGGTTCAAGAAATCTGAATTGGGGCCTGGGAGAGGCCAACATATGGGTGGTGTGCAGTATGGAGGGTATACAGAAATCAACAAGGGACTTCAGAAAGCAAATCAAGTTTGTAGTGGGAGATGGAACAAAGATAAAATTCTGGCAGGACACCTGGTGTGGAATCAACCTTTCAAAGAGATGTTCCAACCCTTTTCCAGATTGCACAGAACAAGGAGTGCATGATCTCAGAGTAAAGCTATGAGAGTAATTAGGGACAGTCAGCAAGCAACAATGGTTCTATTTTTAGGCCCAATAGGAGTAGATAACTCACTCTGAGCTGAATTCTTAGCCCTGCTGCAAGGTTTAAAACATGCTAACAGTTGAACATAAGGCAAGTGGAGGTGGAAAGGAATTCCATGTTGGTGTTGGGGTGGCTCAACAGTAACAGTCAAGGGATTGGAAAGTTCGGGCAGGTTATGAGAGAAATCAAGGCTTTGGCAACAGAAATTGAGGCTTCTTTCACATGGATTAGCTGATCAATCTCATAACTTTATTCTGTTACTGATCAAAAAAAGGAGTACATGATCTTAGATGTCTTTTCCCGTGACAGGGATGTAGGCAAATAATGCCCCATTTTAAAATGAACATCAATGATTGAGATAGAGCAGTGAATGGAGAGGGTGTAACAACCAAGCAGAAGTGTAATGTGTAGAGATGCCACAGAGGAGGTAGGTCATTTATTTATTCATTGCAAGTTTGCAAGGGTGCTGCAGAGTGTGGGCAACAACATTGGGACATTTTGAGGCACAGCTTGCTTTCCAAAAGTCTTTGATAGGTTTGTCCAAACAGGGAAGATCACATGGGAAATGGTGCCAGGAGCAGTGACTCGGTCAATAAGGACAGAAATGAAGGGATTAGGGGAAGGATTTACTCATAGATAGCAGTACATAAGCAATTCAAGGATACATCAGCTCTTATTTTTATCATAGTAATAATCTCTTTGTAATCAGACATACAGAATAGTCAGTGTGCCAACTGCCAAGAGGATGTTGGTCCCTGCACAATATCTTATTGAACAGGGTTTTCTATATGTTTTTTTCAGATTAATACAATAACTTACCTTCAATTAAAAAATATAGTCTTCTTCTAACAAGAGATATTATTTCAACAAGAGAAAACTATGATGTCAATGCTAGAAATGGAGGGTAGGGTGATCACCCAACGGGAGGTTATAGCAAAAGTCTTTTCCAATCACTTTATATTGATTTACAAAATGCCTCTAGAAGGAAGATGGAATGTGTAGGACTTCATTGACCTGTAATGGATAGGAGTTATCAGGAAAAGTAGGAAAGAAGGTTTGAGTTGGATGAGATTAAGGCATTATATCAAAATTGTTGGATATACTAAACGGTGGTGATCTCTTCAAAGTAATCATGAGATCTTTAATTTGAGAGTTAATGCTACTCTCTTAGCCTTGACACATAACAAGGCTGAGGCATGTCACCCTAGAGACTTTAGGCCAATTAGTTTGGTGACCAGAATCTACAAAATTTTAGCAAGTCCCATCCTTGAGAATTAAAAATGTTCTTCCCCTTATCATCACAGTTTCAAGGAGCCTTTGTTCAAGAGAGAAAACTAAGAGATCAGATTGTTATGACAAATGAATGTGAAGAGGAACAAAGAAGATCGGGGATGTACTTTTGGGGTGAAATAGTGTAAATGGATTAGGGGTGCTTAAAAACCTACAATTACTCAGTGATTGTCAATGGAGTTGTAGAGGACTTTTTGGGCCTTTGGGGGTTTGAGGCAAGGCAATCCACTACCCCCTTTCTTCTTACTCTAGTAGCAAATGTGTTGAGTAGGGAAGAGATAGAATTATAATGACCCACTTGCTATTTGCAGACGACACCATTATCTTTTGTGTTGGGGAGAATAGACAAATGGTTTGAGAATTTAAAATTGGTGGTGAGGGTGATTGACCAACTCTCCAATTGGAAGGTCAATTGAGGTAAGGGCATGATAGTAGGCTTAAATATAGGGGAAGATGAGTCAAGAGGTCTTTGGCGGTAGCTTTAGGGTGTCTTTGTTGTGAGTAATTGATGAACTACTTAGGTCTCCCCTAAGGTGCCAGCCCTAAAACCAATAGTTTTTGGAATCCAATGGTGAGAAGTAGAAAAGAGATTGACAGGTTGAAAAGGAATTATATTTCTCTTAGGGGTAGGTTACCTTTGATCAAGTCTACCTTAGCTAATTTTATTATGCATTACCTATTTGTGTTCAAGATGCCACAAGTAATTATTAAAAGAATTGAGAAGTTGATGAGGAACTTTTTTGGGGAGCCTAAGGAGGGAAAGAAAGATCACTTGATTAGATGAGAGGTAGTGAGTAAAAGGAAAATTGATGGGGGCGGGCTTGGGAATAGATAATATTAGCAAGAAGAATATAGTTCGCCTTAGGAAATGGTTGTAGAGGTTTCTAGTGAAGATTGAAAAGTTATGGCATATGGTTGTGGTTAGCATTCATGGGATCTCAGAGAATGGATGGGATGTTGAATTACCACACAGATCAACCCTTGCTTCACCTTGGAAGGCCATTCATAGTACTCTTCCCTTATTTCTAACTCACATCAAGTATGACATCTCACAGTCTTTGGCAATGTTGTCAAAATCTTACGGTTTACAATTTAAATCTGCAAAAATCTTATAATTTTTTGTTTGAATCCTACAATTTATACCATTTCTACAATTAAAATAAATTCAATTAAGAATTAGTTCTCTACTTCATTATTTTTTTATATTTTAGTCTTGTCAAGGGAGACTTTTTTTAAAGCCCTTACTAGAAAATCATTTATTTACATTATTTAAGACTAGAAATTGAGTTAATTTTCCATCATATGTAGGTTAAAGAGCCATTTTATGTATATTTTTTTGATTTTCAAGCCAAACTCAATTATAGTATGCTTCTATTGTATAAGTGGTAAATTCTATTGCTTTAAGTACATATATTAGATATAGATTAAAAATAGGGTAGTCATTTTCCTATATATATTTAGTCTTTTAATATATCTATATTTAAGTTTTTGACAAGTTTGTAAAAAATAGAAGTAATCTTACAATTTATGATACGGTTCATGATTTGATTCGATTCAACTTTCTCTACAATTTACGATGCGATTACGGTTTTCAAAACATTGGTCTCTGATAACAACAGCAAATTTTGGGAAGATCCTTATCTAAGATCCTTATCTTGGGAAGTCTTCGTTGACAGATGTGTTTCCTTCTCACTATACTCTCTCTAAACTTGAAGATAAGCCCATCACTAACTTTATTCTACCTTCTTCCTCACCACTTGGGTTTGATTAGAATTTGGGATTTAGGAGAAACCTAAGAGCCTGAAATCATACCTGTTTCTCGCCTTCTAAAAATGTTGGATGGGGTGATTCTAGATAATTCTACTAGGGAAAAAACGACTGTGGACTCCTAACCCTGCTAGAAGTTTCTCTTGTGGATTCTTTTTCAATTTGTTGGTCATGGTCAGATGTTACTTGTTAATATATGAAGTTAAAATTCAAAAAGTATGAACCATCTTAATAGTATATACTTTTCCAAAGATATGTCTATAAGTCCATATTTTCTCATATTGCAGAGTAAGACACACATCTCAGATTCTGATGCAGGTTAGGTTTGGCCCCAACCTTAAACCAATGCCAATTGGGTTTACCAACCCTACCCCCAACAACAACCGACTCAAACCCGATCCTATGAAGGTGGGTTTGCCATTTAACCTGATCCATTGACATCCCTATCATCCTACTATTATATGGGAGCCCCCTTCCACCATCAAATTTATATAACTTGAGAGTTTAACCAACTGCATCTTTTGTTTCTTTTGTCTTTTATAAAAATCTCATCCCTTGTAGGAGTGTCACTAGTTAAGCACTTATTAAATCATCCTACTAGCATATGAGAGTCCCTTTCCACCAGTATTGCATGGACCCTCCTCTAGAATTAACTAGATAAACAAAATAGAAGTCAGTTAAAGTTAAACCGATCCCATTAGGGATGGGAAGGGACCATGATATAATTGAAGAGATTTTTTTATGAGGGCGAGCTCACTCCAATCTGCCAATTTCTAGAGAAGTCATGATGAGAAAGGGAATGAAGACATCCAAAGACTTAACCCAATGTGTCACCTCTATAGTAATGTTTCCAATAAGAGACTCTTTAGACTAACTATTCTTATTGAGGACTTCTGGGAAAGAAAATAATATACAACAATATCCAATTCCAAACTCTATGTGTACATCTGGGTGACCTGGATGACCAGGGTGACCAGGATGGGCCCTGGCACAACGGTTGGGTTGCTCCATTGCGATTTGCAACCTGGGTGGCCAGGGTTCAAATCTTGGAAACAGCCTCTCTATATATGTAGGGGTAAGGCTGTTTACATCTGTTCTCCCAAGACCCCGCATTGGTGGGAACCTCATGCACTGGGCTGCCCCTTTTTTATCCAGTTCCAAACTCTGGAAGAAAAAGAAATACTTCAGAAAGCCAATTAACTCAATTGGTTAGAGTGTTCTGTTATTGATGCTAAGCTTGTAGTCTATGTTCAGGTTATGTTTGGTTTGAAGGAAAAGGTAGGGAAACATTTACAAACCTTGTAAAGGTTCCCCTACCTTTCCCTTCCTTTCCTTACCTTTTCCTTCAAACCAAACACAATACATACATAAACTAATTTATGTATTCAACGCCAAATTCAAGCCAATTCATTAAAGTATAACCACAAAGAGCTGCAGCTGAGTTTAGGCCCCACAAAATAACTCCTGCCTGCAAGCCTAAACATGGCTGAGGCATCTTTCAAAACACCACAAAGCGGAGAGAAGAGATTAAAGAAGCGTTGCATAAGTGTAAAACCAATAAAGCCCAAAGACTAAATTGTCGTTCCATTATTTTTGCCCAAGGGGGTTAAGCGACTTAATGAATCCTATCACTTCAAAATGTTCAAGGAATTTCGTTCAAGAGATAAACAAGTGCATGAGTACATTGTCTCTATCTATAGGAAATCTAGTATTTTGGCACCCACACAATGTAAGCAAATCAGTTTTCTATAAGATCATCACTAAAATATATCCCTAGACACAGTCATCTCCCACCTCCAGGAGCCACTATAAAGAAAATACTACAATGAATGGAGTACCAATGACATTTCTTTTTGATAATTACCAATGATAGAAACTTTCTACCAATAAAGAATAGAGTATTGCAAGGGGTGAACTCTATGCTTCATTGCAAGGTGTGAAACAAGCAAAAGATACAAATGTGGATAAATTGATTGTAGAGAGAGATTCGAAAGTGGTGATTGGGTAGCTGAAGAACTTTGGTAAAGGGGTTTGAGCTTATAAACAAGAAATGAAAAGAATTTAAATGGATAACAAGGCATATAACTATTAAAGTTTAATGGGTTCCAAGATCGGCAAATGTCTTGGCTGATACGCTAGCCAAATGTGGAAGGCCAATAGGGAATTTTTTTATTGGTTTCAACAGTAAATTATAACTTTACATGTGTGGAGAGTGTAATTCCTCTCCATGCAGTGCTTATGTTGTACGTATATATTCTGTTTCTTTTTTAATGAAATTTCTGAGTTTTTATCAAAAAATAATTAAATACTAATTCATATAAAAAAACAGCCACAAATGCGATTGATCAGGTATTAATAGACAAGATTCAAAAAAAAAAGCATGCTTCTAAATAGAGGAATGTCATTCTCAAACACAATACCACAAAGTGTTTACAAGAAGCATGCAACATGCAGAAGGCAATGCATATACGATGTGCATATTTCCATTTCCATTATTTGACATGATCTGTATGCAATTTACCATTGTTCTTGATTCCAAACTTATAATCAAATATGCATGATATTCATCATCTTCAGAAACCATCTTTGAAGAGTCACTGTTATGACCACGTGTGTTCTTGTGGTACACAGTCCAAATACCTTTGCAACCAGGTAACTCAACCTACAAAAAAAAAGTACAAAAAAATAATGCTAAACAAATATGGAAGAATAGTTAAATTTTATACATGAACCTTTACATCTTTTGTAGTGCATTATCATTTACTAATGCAGTGAGAATGGCTATAATTTCCTTGACATGATAAAGAATGAGCATGTGATCAATAGCAATTAAATTATCTGGTTCCAAATGAAGTGTACAGTCTTGAGAAGATTTACCAATATTGGGATCACCAACAATGTCAACAAGAATTATAGTTCTGAAGCAGTTGGGAAATTTAGCTTGAGAAGACAAGAGAAAGTAACATATCTGGGAAATCAGATTTTCATTGGATATTTTTAAAGCAAAATTGAAAAAGAATGAGCATGTGATCACAAAAGCATGTATATTTGTTAGAAGCAAAATTATAATACACCTAGATGTAACTTTTAAAATCCAATTATATGGTTGGGACCACATCTATAAAATAAGACAAAACCGTTAACAGTGCCCCATGACCGACTCTCCCCCATGATTAAATGGTTTAAATTGTCCTAATATTTTCACAGAATATTTCCATTTCCACTAGAGCCATCACAAAATAATACTAGAACTGACATATAACCCAAATGAAAACTACCCACTGCTATGTGCAGTACATGAGATGTTATTATAACATGTATTAGCAACAATACGGTACAAATGTGTAGTAGATGTATTATTTCCCACCTAATGTAAATGATGACCACTCTAAGTTAAGGTCGAAATTTTGTTCCATGTCAAAACTAAATCTTCATTTTTGTTTAACTGTTATTTATCTTAATTTCGTGGCTTTGATTGATGGCTTTCAACAAGATATCAATTTAAAAGGGTGTATCTATGTTTTTTTTATCATTTCATAAAATATCATTGTATTTTTCTGCATGTTTCACGAAGTTTCCACCACGTCTACAATCTTGGCAATATTTCGAAAAAATATTTCTGACATTTCCAACATGTTTCTTATATTTGGATGACCAATGCTTCCACCAACACACATTTGAAACCATGCTTAAAGCAGGGATGGTTACATAACCATCTCTCCCCCAACTTAATCTCCTTTAACAGAGGATACACCCTCCCCCCCTCCCCTTCAAAGAAGATTTCTAAGCAACACCAACATTTTCAAGAGTCTTACCAACATTATTCAACCTGCATCAACTAATTCAATCCTGAATTTCAAATTTTAACTTTTAAAAAGGAAAAAATGATTACAAATAGTACCTGCACATGTAGAAAATAAACACCAAATTAAACTCAAAGCACACCTCAGTGATCATTTCTGGACGAATTGACTGCTGAAGAACACACAGAGCACCATTCTTTCCATGACCTGAACAGCAAACCTGCCAATTAAGAAAGGAAAATATTACACCAGAAACTTAATGTCTCAAACTTACAAAAACAAAAACAAAAAAAAAACGTCATATAAAATTTGACCATTTTGTTTTCTACTAGACACCTGTCCCAAAAATGATTAGGAAAAAGCATCTTCCATTAAGTCTAAATAACAATCATTGGATAACTTCTCTATATAAATCCAGGAAACTTTTCTACTGGACAGAAAATCAAAGAGTATCATGCAGAATTAGTGCTCCCTGTTATTTTAAAAGAAAAAAAAAAGAGATTATTTGTTTTCTAACTTGCAGGAGCAGCATAAACTGTAGAAAAAAGTATATATGCAGGACCAACCAGTTCATAATTGCTTTGCTTTGCAATTCCTGTTGCATTAGGGTCAGCATTGAGCCTTAAACCATAAGAGAAATCCTTCAAAGGGCCAACATTAATCAATGAATCCCTGACGGTAAATGAAAATATCTTCTGCATACAACAAGAAAACAAGTTATAACTATCAGTTTTTGTTATAGTAGCTAATAAGAATTAAGTCAGGAAAGGGTATAAGAAAAAGTAATAATGATGACGCAACAAATAGGGGATATTAGCCCACCCACATCCGAAGAAAGAGAGTAGCACCCTGCTACTCTCCACACATATGCAGTCATAATCAAAGATCAATAAGAAACCAAAACAGCACCAATGTACTAACCCTAAGAGGTATGCACCACCACATGGTCTGTCTGCTTGCTCCTCCAAATAGAGCATCAATGAGATTATGAAAATTATAAGATATTCTAATACATTCCTGATATCTAAGCAGAATAGCAGATCAATTAAAGAGGAACTGAAAAAAGACAAGAATCTCATTGTTTCCCCAACAAGCAAAGAAAGAGCAAAAGTAGAGCTAAAGGAAATGCACCAACATAAGAAACCACCGAAGAGGAAAAGTCTTAATGGAGATGCACTAGAGCTGCAGTGGTTTGATCTATCTGAGAGAAAAGAAATGCAAGGATATTTCAGGATAATATTTGCAAGAAGGAAGCACTCATGGAGAATATCTCAGTTCGAGTCACTCATTGGGTGAAGACTATGGATATCTTTGCACATTTCACAAGTAATATATAATTGGATGATGGAAAGTAGTGGCTAATGCACCATTTGTAAGGAGAAATGTTCTACTACACCCCCAAAAGACTTTGTAAAGATGACCTTTTGATAGATACAGCTCAGGCAAACCAGGAGAGTACAGAATTGAGGGGGTTTTTAGAGACAGTCAAGGTCAATGCCACATATTATCAGATTTTTGAGAAGAATGTGATCTTAGAATTACAAGGATGAATGCTAGTTCTAAGGATCAATAGGCTCTGGAGAAGATTCCTAATGCAGCAAGACAATTTAGGAGGAAAAAAAAAGCATCATACTGTTGTTCAAGTTTCAAAAGTATTCACCAGATTGAAAGGGGGTTTATTTGGTGTAAAGCCAAGAAGGTGAAGAAAGCAAAGAAGGTTTGCAAGAGGAGCAAAGAAATTTCCATTCAAGCAATTGTGAGGTGCTAAGTTGGTGTTTAGTGTCTTTTGCTGTTTGTTTGTTTCTTGTTGGTCATTAGGGGGTGCAAAGATTTGTGATGCCAGGAAGGTATGTAAGCCTATCTGATGCTCTAGCAGGCAGGGTGTTTGTATAAGGCAACTATTTTGGGGTTCTGTCCTCTTAGGGGAATGAATGCATGTGCTCATATTTGAGGATGGTAGATAGTGTTCTGATCAACCATGTTATGGGTGCTGAGGCATATCATTGTACAAATTCATATATAAATCATTGTACACTACTTTCGTAACACAATCAATAAAGTTGCTAATCAGAAAGATAACATAAGAAACCACTGAAAAACCAACAAGTAATAATAATAACAAGAGAGCAAAACTCAACCTGTACTGACTCTGAGTTATTCGGTGCTGAACCATATAAAGAAAGCTCTTCACCACCAACAATATCTTGCAAAGGGTCAGAAGGTGATCTCCGCAATCGCTTAACTGAAGGAGCATCAGTTTCAATATCTCCAACCTTCCACAGGAAAAGGCAACTAAAAAGTTTATTTTCTTTTTTTATCAATAACAGAATTTCATTACAATAAAAAGTTCATTTTCTACATCAATGTAAAAATGAAAATAAAATTAATGACAATGAAGAAAATTACAATAGTGCCATAGAATGAAACATTACACCAGAGGAGATATCTAAACATTAACAACAAGTTAGGAAGTCAACAACAAGCCTGAAATAAAAGCAAAGCAATTAGCATTTTCAAATTCAGGATGAACACCATCTAGTAGGAAATTACAGATATGTTAATTTTATTTGATTAGTGAATTAGATGCAAAAAGACTTGGTAGATGCTTAACTAAGGCCCCATTGGACACGTCTTTCCGCGTGGGCTATCAGCTGTTTAGAAGCTTGGAAGCCCATGTTTTCGTCTTTTCTCGTTTGGTTGAGGGAAGATCTAGCCACCAAAAGACTGTACCGCAAAAAGACGCGAAAACCTCGATTCGAGCTTATTTCAGGAAGCTAGAAATGGAGCTTTTTGCCTTTTTTGTCTCGTCTTTGCGCGAAAAGATGCATGGAAAGATGCACCTCCAACCAAACGGTCTATGGGCTGCCAAGATCTTTATCTAGAAGCCCACTACGTCTTTTGGCTGTCAGATCTTCCAGACGATCTTTCAAAAAAGACTTGCCAAATGGCACCTGAATTTGTGTCCATATTTACTCAAAATGATCAATAAACTAGTCCATTGAGAGGAACTTCCAGTACATTTTTCTTCTTCTAACTGCAAAGGATCAAATATCCATGATATGAGAAAAAAAGAGTATATAAGTATTTAAATCTGGACAAAAAAGATCTCCATGATATCAAAAAAAGAATAAATTAGTATTTACGTCTGGAAAAATAAAAAAGATAGCATAACCCAATGACTGTATGTAAAAGATCACATTATCATTTTTATTTTTGACTTTCCATATTACTGTCAAGTTGGTATCAGAGCTTACAACAAGTGGTACAGCTGCTAATTTCTCCTTCCTCAAGCCAACATGAGAGAAACCATATGACTTAGGTCAGGACTCTTGGAGTCATATGGTGGATAGTAAAAAACTGGCACTCAAGAGCTTGACAATCTCAACCACCCCTACTTAAAAGGCTATTTACATATTTTTCTAGAATATTCTACCCGCAGATGATCACCTAGAGAGTTAAGTTTGAAAAACTTAGGTTTGCAATATTTTGTTTGGGGGCATAGTGATAGTCAGATAGACAGTTCAGCCAATATTGTTTAATCCCTATGACTATTATTAATTTCCAGAATCAAATGGAATGCCATTCTGAGATGGATTGACACTCACGGAGGGAAATCTCCATGTTTCAGTGCAACCTACTGCTGGTAAGTAGGAATAACTGGTGTTTGGTACTTCTAGTGTTGTTCATTCCATTTGTGTTTGCACTTTGAAGATAATTTAGTGCCATGGACACTGATTCTGAACTCTGAAGTGAAAAGAGAATCTACACATACTAATTCTAGTATGGTGGGATCAGAGACTAGTTTTGTTGAACCCTTAAATCTATCTGTTAATGGTCCATTGGTCCTAAAATGTCATTTTCTGCTGATGGCAAGGTATTCCCCTAAAGCAACGTGCTACACCTTAACCTGAATAAAATGAGAATTGGGCAATGGTATGCTAGGTGTTCCAAGAAGCAATGCGCCACAACAATGCCTAGTTGTTGTGAGGAAAAGGTAAAGGTTCCCATATCCTTTTGCACAAGGGCAGATAAAGCAGTTAGTACAAAAAACAATAATGTGATAAGCTACTTAGAATGTGGGAAATATTAATAAGCAAGACAATAGATAAATACACAGAATGAAAAGGATAAAGATTATATAACGTGCATACAAGAAACTAAATGCAAGGGGGAAGTTAAAGAAAATGACGGATACAAACTATGGTACACAGGAGAACTAAATATAGAAAGGAAGTACCAAGAAAAGTAAACAAAGAGCTAAAAAAATGAAATATTAAATGATTAAATAACTGAGAAAAGAATTATTTTAATTAGACTTTTTTAGATGACGAAATCATTAACATAATTAGTACTTAATACATCTAAAGTGAATCAAGAAGAAAACATTCAAAGACAATTTTGGGAAAACATAAGTGGACTAATTAAAGAAATTCTAAATGGAGAAAGTAGCTCTGTGGGAGGATATCAAATTGGTTATGTGGGGAGAAGTGTACAGTATAATAGGGTGCACGGAACATTAATGCTTTAGGAGAAAATTGAAACAGGACACAATTTTAAAATTTGCAAAAGTCAATGATCTAAATATAGTGAACAAATATTTTGAAAAGGATGGACAAGTAGAGAAGTGATAGGCCCCCAATTAACTTTACGTATGCCAGGAAGGGGAAAGGTCAGCTTTCGGCCAAGGGGGGAAATAATTGAACATGGGGGCAATTATAGCTGGAGGGAATAAGGAGAGTCTTGAGGCATTTATAGCTATGTCAGTTAGAAATAAGAAGAGTACGGGCATTTATAACTTGGCCAGCTGGGCATTTATTGAGGGAGTCAGTTATGTTGTGAGAAGAGTATAAGAAGGGGCTTTGGGGGATGGGGAAGATAGGCTTTTGTTGAGTGAAGAATACTGTGAGGGATTGGAAGAGCCGGCGGTCTCTCGAAGAACCGACCAACTGTTAATGTTCTTCTTTTCTTTCTTTTCTTCTGAATGAATACCAGTTCCTTTGTTGATGTTCTAGTTGTGTGAATTCTGCTGTGAGTCTAAGAATTGTGTGTCAGGTTTTTGGTACCTAATAGTGGTATCAGAGCCCATCTTTCCTCGGCCATGGTGATAGCTAAGGAAGTGGCATCGCAGGTGGAGGGTTTCGAAGAACGCTTGACTTCTCTGTAGTCTGGAATTCGTGTGGAGATGGATGGCTTACGCAATGAGATTCAGTGACTCAATCTAGATAAGGTAGCAGCTGGACTTTCGAAGATCTCGTCTCTGGAGACCTCGGTACAATCTCTGGAAGAAGGCGTTCAAGATCTGGTGAGACATTTTGACCTGTTGCTTCAGCAACAGGCCTATTCAGCTCCTTTGTCTACGACTGACATTGCTCCTCCTTTAGTGGCATCGAGTCGTGCGGCTGACAAAGGGAAGAGTGCAGCATTTCCGACGTCTTCCTCGATGCCAGTGCCGGAACATACTCCTGATTCACTTCCTCGGAAGTTTGAGTTACCTATTTTTGATGGGGAAAATCTAGACAGCTGGCTTTTTCGTGTGGAGCGCTATTTTGAGATTAATGGATTGCTTTCGGCAGAGCGTCTGCGAGCTGCAGTTGTCTGTCTAGAGGATGATGCATTGGCGTGGTATTACCAGGAAGTTGGTCGGCGACCTTTTCGTGGTTGGACAGAATTCAAAGAGCTTCTCCTTGAACGTTTTCGATCGACTCAGGAGGGTAATTTACAGGAGCAACTCTTCTACTATTAAGGGATATCATTGCCAATTCGAGGTGATCTTCGCTCCCTTACGTGACCTGCCGGAATCAGTCCTTGAAGCAGCATTTGTTAATGGGTTGCACGACCCTTTCCTGAACGGTGCCATGAAGCGGGGTGACTGGTATAGAACCAAAGACTTGGT